GCTCCTTGCTCCTTCAACAGCTCGCGCTCGTCGGCGTTCGTTTGCGTCCCGACGACGACGTGTTCGCGTCTACTCGACGCGTTTGCTTCTGACAAAGCCGCTCGATCCGTTTGTCTTCTGACAGAGCCGCTCGACGCGTTCGCTTCTGACAGAGCCGCTCAACGAGTCGTCTGCTCGAGTCTATCTCTGGCATCTGCGACAGAGCCACTCGCCATTCACTGTCCTTCATTGTAGCTCAACACGGACATCACTCCTTGCTCTGATGGCGCCTCCTCGTTTGGTTGAGCCGGACAAAGTCTCATTTGCCCACGTGGTGGGTAACCCTCAAGTGGAGTCCGTAGTGGGATTCCCCTCAAGTTATAAGGAATTTCGTGCGGGCACAGATGATTGTCCTTCTATTAAGAACGAAAGTAGGAAACGTGGAAAAACAGCAATCCTTTTTTCTGAATCAGAAATTTTTACCCTGACGGAAAAATTCAAGTTTGCTTTTATTAGAAAATTTCAGTTGGGACACCCTCCTATGGATGTTATCAGAAAGAGTTTGGATGATCTTAAGCTAGTAAATAAGTGGAAAGTGGAACTCATGGAAAGGAGATGTGTTGATCCAACTAACAGTGGCTGAAGACTACACTAGAATTTTCTCCAAAAAATATCTTAATATCGAAGGCAAATCAATGAAGTTACTCAAGTGGTATTCTAACTTCGACCAAAATCACAAAACTCCCACTGTACCGATATGGTTTAGTTTACTTGGTCTCAAGCTACATTTTTTTCACTATCAGGTTCTCTACTCTATTGCGGTCATTCTTAGGGATCCTTTGAAACTAGATTTGTCTACTTTCAACCTAACCAGGCTCTCGGTGGCCAGAATACATGTGGAAAGAGATATTATTTTACATGATTTACTGAAGTTTGGCTAAGCACAACCCATAATGGTTATTGGCAACAAATCGTCATTGAACACAAACCCCCATATTGTACCCACTGTAAGAAGTTTGGTCATATCCTCACTAAATGCCACAAATTTCATCCTAATTTGAAACCTAAGGTTCAGGTAAATAAGGATGGGTCTAATCCCACTACTGTGAACATTTTAGTTTCACCTGAGAATGATACTACCAGACAGGAGGTGCTTGTTGCACATGAGGACCTCCCCTCATAACACTGTTGTTATTGTTACTGAGAGTGATGCGATGTTGGCACCTACAAACTCCATAGAAAACAATATTGATGGACTATTACCTATAATTGATAGTGTTCAGACTGATAAACAAGAGAGTCACGCAGCTCCACTTCTTCAAGAAGTATCCGGTGTAGCGGCAATTCATACTTCACATATTGTAGAACCTGTTATGGGTATTACTGTTGGTAATCCTTCTGCTTCAGCTCTATCCCATCAAGAGAATTCTCTGTTTGGAAAAAATTTTCAGGATTAAAATTACATTTGTTCAAAAATTCACTATTTTTTAACAACTGCTTACGGTAAGTTTCTCAAGGTGGATAATCCTACGTTTGCCGTCGCCAGACTCTCTGTGGCTTGTGAATTAGTTGACAGAAATATCACTCAACCAGCTCCGGATGAGATATAGATTGACACTTCACAACGGGTCTTGGCAAAATGTTGAAATATAACCACACCTTCCTTATCGCTCTCATTGTATTATGTTTGTCCACAATTCTACTATTTGTTATCGTTTGCATCCTCATCCAAGGTCGAATAATGCTAAAGATCAGCCACCTACCATCCTTGCTAAGAAGGTGCAATCCAATCCTCTTTCCAATATCACAGTTCCATATAAAGAACGTCATACTACAGGTACAGATCCAAATGTGCTGATACATTTACTGTTATTGAAGAAGACCCACTTAAATGTCAACACATGAGAGTGCTCCTTCGATCCAATAAAAGATCAGCTGGTACAACAAATAGTTGCTTCTAATATTGAACAACCCACGCATATCATGCACACTTCAGACCATTTCGCTGATCAGGAGAGTCAATCTTTGAATGAGAAATGACAGGTCTACACGAGGAAGAAGAACGGAGGACGACTCGAGCTAGGGAATCTATTGGATGATACATTGGTTACTACTGGCAATAACACTCATCTAACCAATTTATTCGTTGGCTACTTCCCTAGAACTAGAGGTAGAGGAAAGACAAAATTGGGTTGTTTTCCAGCTACCTGATACTCTTATTTTAGCACTTTTTTTTTTATTATTTAGATCCCTTGTATATTTTGTTGTATTTTCTCTTTTTCAGAACCATTTGATATGGTGATTTTTGTGTGAGCATGGTGTCATGTTAAGGACCTCTCACAAAATCTATATGTACCCTACTTTTTATTTAATATAATATCATTTGAGCTCTCAATATATATATATACATATTAAAAAAACCTAAGGCTATTATATTAAAGAGAGAAGGATACATATAGGTTATATGAGTGGTCCCAAAAGTAGGCGCCCAACTCATACGGTACAACGCAAACTAAAAAACTCAAAAAAAAAGTGCTAAAATAGGATATATATAGTAACCAAACTACATATAAAATCAAAAAAGACCCAAACCACTAGGGCGTGGAAGTAGTTAGGGACGACTCAATTTAGTTATGTCTCTGCTCTAGTTCTCGAAAGAGTCAGCTAACAAATTAGAGAGGTATGTCTCATTACACGAAGTAACCAAAGTATCATCCATTAGATTCCTTAGCTCAAGTAAATCTCCATTCTTATTCTTCCTTCTGGAAGTGTAACCTTGTCATTCCTCATCTGAAAATTGATCATTCGGATGAGGTGGTAAAGCTATAGCAAAAGAATTGCCAACCGGTGTACCCACAATAGCTTCTAATATATGTGAAGTATGAGTTGTCGCCTCTACACAAGATACTTCCTAAAGATGGAGAGCTGCAAGGTTCTTCTGATTATCCATCCAAACACTATCATTTGTAGGTAAGGATCCTTCAGTATATTTTTCAATAAGGTTTGAAGGTGTAGGTTGCCCAGCAAATCTATCCAACATCACATCAATCGCAGAAAAGTAACAGGTATTGTCAAAGGGGGGTCCACAAGAGCAATTAGATCTATCACAAAATCCTATCTTGTGGTAGTTTCCTCCCCATATGAAGCAAAGATGTCCAAAGCAGTGGGGCTAGACCCCCTCCTTATTCACTTGAATTTTAGATTTCAAATTAGGATTGAGCTTATGGCATCTATCAAGGGTAAGCCCAAACATCTTACAATTAGTACAATAAGGTTTATGTTCCATGAGGATTTGTTGTCAACATCCATTAAGAGTTGTGTCTAGCCAGACATAAGAAATATCAGGTAAAGTACTATTTTTTTCCACAAGAATTTTGGCCACAGAAGGTCCGGTTAGATTGAAAATGGGTAGATCAAGTTTCATAAGGTCCCCAAGTACAGCCCCAAAAGAGTAGAGAACCTGAAAATTAAAAATGTGCAGCTTGAGACTAGGTAGACTAAATCATACTGGTACAGTGGAAGTTTCATGATTTGGGTCAAAATCAGGAAACACTTGAGTAGATTCATTTACTTGCCTGCAGTATTAAGATATTTCTTAGAGAAAATTTGGGTGTACTCTTAAGCCACGGTTAATTGAATTAACACATATCTCTCATCCATGAGTCACAATTTCCACTTGTTCACTAGTTTAAGATCATCAACACTTTTTTTGATAACTTATATAGATGAGAGCAAACTTAAATTTCTCAATTAAGCTTGAAATTTTTAAGTCAGAAAAAAAATAGTGTTGTTTTCTGACATTTCCTTCTTGCCTTCTTAACATATGGGCAACCACAGGTATCATCACGACAACCCTTATAGCTTGAGGGAAAGGGAATCGTCGACCCCACCCGAGGATTACCCACCACGTGGGCAAAAAAAGCTTTCTCAAGTTCAAAAGATAGAGGGAGAGCCACCAAAGTCGCGGCAAGGAAGAAAGCGAAGCTGTCAGCGCCTTTCCCTGCAGAATCTAAAAAACTCAGAAGCAGAGAGAGGCGCATGTGCGAGTGTAGGCGTCGAAACAGACAAGGCAGAAACAACAGAGACGTGGGATGGAGCTGTCGAGTTAGGACAGTCTTGGCGCAGCTGTCGAGCTCGGTCGGAAGCCCTTCAGCCTGCAGCGAAGCACCGCATAAGACTAGCCATACGACACAAGCAGCCCGACGAAATTGCTACGAAATAAGTAGACGATGCGAGCTTTTCAACTAGACGAAGGCGACGAAGAAGGTAAAGCAGAGGAAATCAGAGTACGACGCGATAAATTCGTAGCTCACGCTAGCATTCGCCATGAGGCGAAACCCTAACAGAGCGGAGACGATGGCACATGTTTATATAAGG